TAGGATTCCATTTTACTCTCTACGAAAAATAGCCTAACCCGGTGAGTGAAATGTGAAAAATTAAAAGTTGGATGCCCTTGACCAGAACTGTAAAAAACAACAATAGGTCTAATTGCAGCACACTTTCTTGTACAAATTTCCTTGCCGTTGATTTGCATGACTGCAACGTAAAACGTCCAGAAAACTTCCTGGTTTTCACTTGTTATGGAGAAAATGTGGTACATGTTCTTGTTCACTTTTTCCACTGCCGCTCATTCTTTTTAGCTCCGCTATAAGATTCGTATCTGTTCGGTGCTCCTAGGGCAAATTGGATCTTTTTAAAATTACAAGGGCTTCAATATTATTTTCCCGGTTGATTGACCTAGAAGCGCAATAGTACCTTCCCTCCCATAGCAAGTGCTGCATTGTTGCGCGAACGCGGTCGCTAAGCTTGAATATTCACGTCGCGTATTACACCTGGTCGTTTGCGGTCATATCGAAGCGTAAAGGTCAACAGTGGTTGTTGAAGAGCGAGCAATTATTGTGCAGTTGCGATGGGTTTTGTGGAGCAAGCGAGCCAGAAGCAGGAGCACTCGTTACCTGCAGATTAGCCGATGGTTATTTGGAGCGGATTCGTCGATTATTCTCGAATTTATAGCGCTTCGTGTGAAGGCGCGTGGAGATGGTCTGTTTGTTTTGTAGCCAGCCTTTAATTCTTCTTTAGTGGATAGTACCTACAATTGCAAAACTCAACAAAATGCCACTTAAACCGGCCAGGAAAGACAAGGATACGTTCAGTTGAAGGTATCTTAGCTTTGTTTTGTTATATTTTGACTTTTGGACTATTTTAGTCCATGGGAGTTTCGACGACTCATCGCATTAATTTGTCCATGTGAATATTAATATATTCATTCAGTGACACATACTACGTCTGGGCCGCCTGTGAAAGGAACAATGAAGTTTTGTCTTGTCATCCAGACTTAATTAACTCTGTATCATTAACCAATCAAATAGCGTTTCTTGACATGTTTTGATGGTTTGACGGAAGATTAAAAAACATCCTGTATTTCCGAGAATTTTTAATCAGTTCTTTGAAGCATGGATAACCTGCCTGCGGCAATAGTTTCCGCGCAAGGTCGGCAAGAAAGTCTGAGCGAGAGCAGAAAAGAGGAATGAAAGAGCTCTCTCTCTCTCTCTAATTCATTTGGAAACGTTTGCTAGGCAGACTAAAGCATAGACTACTGAAATTGTTGGAATATTTGTGTACCCTCAACACGTTACCGACACGTGTTCAATCCTTGGATAGAATAAACTGGGAAATCAAGTCCCCGTTGGCTCAAAGATCAGGAGCAAAAAAGCCACGCGAAAGCCGGAACGCGCCATTATATCCCCAATCCTCATCCATTATTTTACAGGAGAGAGGATGCATTAATTTTTTCGTCTATTTTGTCCAAGATTGTGCATGTGTGGTAGTTAATCCCTGTGTCTCGAGGATCAACCTTCGGCCAAGTCATCCCTGATACTGTTCAAATTACATACTCCAGAATGGGAACATGCACACAGAACAGGATACTTCATCATGAAGGTTGTCCAGCAAGGTCTTTAAATCCATGGAAAAAGTGGGACATAAGTCTGGAAATACTCCGAGGTGCAGTCGGTTGGTGTTCTCAGAAACCGCCAAAGAGGTCTTGTCTTTTGGCCCAGACTAAACTTTATTTTGGCTATCAATCAAATAGTGCCTTGACGTGTTTTGAGTTTTGACGACATGAAGAATCCAAAAATAATCATTATTTCTGAGAACTGATAATCTGTTTACAAAGCGTAAACTTTTTGAAATATTTATAAAGCCACAGGTAGCCCAAACTTACTATCAGATCGAGATCCAGAGAAGGCAAATTAAGTTAGCCTACTCAAACTGACAAAGTTATCATTCATATGAATTTAGCACCAATTGCAAGATGTCGCACGAGAATCGATTTATTTTTAATATTCTGCCTATTAAAAGAGCGAAATGTACATTACATTTCTCTTTTAAGTTTATCTTCAGCGTCTTTTGTTGTCTGTGATTATCTGTTTCTTGGTTTTGTGTCAGGCTTTTAAGGCGCGTTTAATTATATGAATGGCTTTTTATGAACGACGGTTTATCACGTCTTTATCACGTAGATCAACAAAGAGAGAAGAAGAATCACGTGTCAGAAATTAAAGTGGCAATATTTTAGCGGAGCTCTCGCGCGCGAAGCGCGCAGCGGAGCACCATGGGTAACAAAATGTGGTAAACTACCCATCCGAGAAAATTTGGTAATCACGTGACCGTACACCGACCGCCCGCCCGCCCGACCGTCCGTCCGCACCACAGGCATACCAACGCAAAATTTCGGGTAGTCTGTGGGGGGGTTTTTTGGCGCGAAAACGAATGGCAACCCGCGTTTTGTGAAGCATAAACAACTTAGAAGTTCAGGAAAGTCAACTCAGAACAAAAAGAAATTTTTCGTGTCGGTTGACATTTTTTATACATCCGTATTTTCTACATTATTTATTTATTATGCCCTCTAGTTTGGAGTATAGAGATAAAGAGAGGCAGAGAAAACGAGAAAGTAGGCGGCAAGCAAGCCAAGCTCAACGAGAGAGAGAGCGGCAGAGAGCTAGAGAAAGCGGTGAGGCAAAACTGCTGTGACGAGCAACGGGAGAGGGAGCAAGAAAGAAACAGAGAAAGGAGGCGCAATTTTACTGACCAGCAACGGGAGAAAGAGCAGGAAAGGGATAGAAAGGAGGCGCAATTTTACTGATGAGCAACGGGAGAGAACATGAAAGGGATAGAGAAAGGAGGAAACATTTTACTGAGGAGCAACGGGAGAGAACAGGAAAGGGATAGAGAAAGGAGGCGCAATTTTACTGATGAGCAACGGGGAGAGAACATGAAAGGGATAGAGAAAGGAGGAAACATTTTACTGAGGAGCAACGGGAGAGAGAACAGGAAAGGGATTGAGAAAGGAGGCGCAATTTTACTGATGAGCAACGGGAGAGAGAACGGGAAAGGGACAGAGAAAGGAGGAAACATTTTTCTGAGGAGCAACGGGAGAGAGAACAGGAAAGGGATAGAGAAAGGAGGCGCAATTTTACTGATGAGCAACGGGAGAGAGAACAGGAAAGGGACAGAGAAAGGAGGAAACATTTTACTGAGGAGCAACGCGAGAGAGAGCAAGAGAGAAACAGAGAAAGGAGGCAAAATTTTACTGACGAACAACGCCAGCGCAAGAAAGAGAAAGGGAAAGGCGACAAAATTTCACTGAAGAGCAACTGGAGAATGAACGAGAGAGAGCAAGAGAAAATAGACGCCTAATAAGCGACGAGCGGCGAAGAAGGAAGCGAGAGACAGCAAGGGAAAACAGGCGTCGTATAAACGAAAAGGAACGAGAAGGAGGAGAAGGTGAGCGAATTTTTGCCGAGGTTTGCTTTCAATCGGGGATTTTACGAATACAGAGATAGCTTTTGTTTTGTTTGTTAATCAATAACCTCTTTGTAATTGCATCAGTTTTTTTGGACCAATAACCACACGTCATTTGTTGTCACGCAGTCTAGAGTTGATACTTTTATCATCCATTGGAGTTGACCTCTGTCCTCCAAGTTCGTTGAAGAGAAACGATATGACTGAAATTTCACTTTAACAAGACAGTCGCGTCCAAGATAAAATTATAGAGTAACCTTATAATTCGTGCTCCTCGGTGTATTTTCGTTGTTTCTGGCGCGGAAAATAAGGTAATCTTAAATTGTATTAATGAAATTTTATCGAAAATTATAACCATTGCCATGTGTCCGATGCATCGCTGAATGAATGATAACTCCTTATGTAAATTTTAGGCGACTCTGGCCTCTGTGACAAGTTAAAATGATTCAGTGTTAGAGGATTGTAAATTATACGGTCTGTGAAAGCGTTGTTATGTTTTCTGAAAAGAGAGCAGAGAGCACCTTGAATTTGAAGATTTTCAATGTCTGTTGAAAGAGCGTTTTGGTGCAGATTGTTCGAGCTTACCTCTATTTGTTTTATTCAGGGTAAACAGAATTTGAAGGATCTATTCTCCCTCTTGTAATTGAAATAACTTTTATTATTTTACTATAAATCTAGGCTTTTCCATTTTGTAGATACCTATCTTCGAGTGTTTAAGAATATATATGGAGATCTATGTAAATAAGGAGGGCAGCCAGGGTTAGAAATTATTTTTGAATGTTGACAGGCCAAACAAATTTAAGCTCGGTCATGTCTAGTTACTAACCGGTCAAAATAAATTATTACCTGCCAAACAAATTTTAGCTCGGACCGGTCAAAAGACAGTAAAAACTCTTAGGTAAGAACCTGGATTTTCCCATTGCATTAACAGGTACGTTCTTACAAAAATAGTTATTGGCAAAAAATTTGTATATTTTTCTAAAATGAAAAGGTTCTTATTTTCTGCAGGAAAAAAAACATTGCAGCTTATGTCTCCCAAAGAGGTTCACCTGAATATTTTCCAGGTGTATTGAATTTTTTGTATAGATTTGAGAAAATAAAGATGTGTGTCAAATATTGGGCTAAACAGGTTCTTGTATAGAGCCTAGGGCCTAATTATAACTGGCAAGTTTAGCCAAACAGGTTCCTAAAAACCAGGTTCTTAGTCACAGCTAGGTTTTTACTGTATTGAAGACATTGTACTTTGCAGTAATAGCCAAATTAAGACAAAAATTATGTGATCATAAATGCTCAAAAACTCCTTGTGTTGAGAGATGGGGAAATATTATAAACCAGTTTTGAGTGTGGTTATCAAGTTGTTCATTCATTGGAGGGTACAGTGTAGTAAATAATATTTCCAGGAATATTGTCAAGCTCAGCTCGTTTATTCTTAAAAACAATTCCCCATAAGAGTTAAACCAGAAATCACAACTTTTGGCTCAGTGTTGTTCTGACATGTTTTCTTTGAACAATAGGTGTATGTAGGGGTGAGGGAAAATTTTTGCCCAACTAAAGATTTTATCTTATCTTCTTAGCCATGGAAGAACATGAAAGTCAGGTCCTCCAGGTTGAATGTAGCGTGGAATGCTCTCTGCTTTGTGAACAAGAGCAAAGTCACTCAGCAGGTACTGATATAGTTCATGGTAGATGGTATTTATTATAGAATTGCATAATTGAGTAAAATCACGCATTCTGATTGGTTAATGAAGAGAGGTATTCAGTGTGGAATTGCGAGTTGAAAACGAGGCTAAGGGATGTTTTTTCGCATCTACGTAACAACTATTGTCAAATTGTAACACAACAACTGCAAAAAAGGTTTTCTACAATGTCATTTTAAAATGTTTTCAAAATCATTGTCCAGGGATTGCAAATTTTATTGATTAGTGGAGTCACTGTGACTTCCGCTTCACAAATTTTGGAGTCATTTTGGAAAATTTGGAGTCAAGTATCACAACGAAAAAAGCCATTTGCAGACTTTACAGCACTTGGTCCTGGCATGAATAACTATCGTGATGGATACACGGTGTAGCTGTGGGGGTTCACTGACCTAGAAAGCTCAAATCCATGATGGCAGTCATCGAGTAAACTTTGATCGTAATTTACCCTCTTCCTGTTTTGTCGTGCAGTATCATTCTTTAATTTTGATGATTTAATTAAGGTTTACAACGTTTAAAATTAATGTAAATTGCATTTGTTGCAAAAAAGGTAGGGACAAAACTGTGTTTGTTACCGAAAATTCCTGGAGTCGAAGTGGCTCCCTGTTTGTTACCGAAAATTTCTGAAGTCAAAGTGACTCCCTCCGTAACCTCTGTGGAGTCATCTGAACAATTTTGGCGGAAAATACGCCAAATTTGGCGTATTTGCGAACCCTGCATTGTCACCTTTTGTATATCCTTTCTTAACATACTGTAATGTCGCCTGGTCCTCCACCTACTGTTCCAACCTAAACTGTATTTACCTTTTGCAAAAGCATCTAGTGCGGCTCATAACAAAAGCTCACTATCTAGCAAATACCGCCCCTTTGTTTAGCCAGCTTAAAGTCCTTGACATATTTAGTATTAATTCATTTTCTGTCACTACTTTTATGTATTGTTATCACCATAATCTTTTGCCTAGTAGCTTTCGTGACTTGTTCTTAAGTAGTAATCTGAAGTCCATCAATACCAAAATTCGACTGGCCTCTCAGTATAGACCTCATTTTTGTAGATCAAATATAAAGCAATTCAACATCCTTTACCGAGGACCTAAAATCTGGAATTCGTTGCCTGTTTCACTAATTAGCTCTCCTTCTATATTTGTTGTTAAAAAAAATGTAAAGAATTATCTCACTGATAGCCGATCTGTCGCTTAATTTTCTGATCTTGCTCACTCTGCACTCAGCCATGAATTTAGTTCTCTAGGTAGTTGAAGGAAGCCTATTAATATAAGCTTCAAGCTTCGTTAGACTTCCTTGTCACATTAATTTTATAATTTAATTAACACCTTTTGTTTATGTTGTATAAGGTTTTGTGGGTGACTAAATAAATAAATAGTTAAAAACAAACAAAAGCATTTTTTAAAGTGATCCGGAGGTTCTTCCTTGTTTTGAACTAAACTACAAATTCTTGGAGAGGTATAAAAAACCCCTTTTGCTAGCGACAATGAGAAAACAAGAAAATCCTGTGAACACAGCCCAGAAAATGGCAAGCCAAATTCAAACAAACAAAACGGAGAAGCGACAATGGAGGAAGTGCCAGGGTCAATTGTCACATATACAGAAGAAGAAATAAATACCTTCAAAGATCACATTGTCCCTGAAAACACAAAAAAGGGTACGCCACTTGCATTCATCCTGAATCGTGGTACTTAGGAAAGTACAAAACAGAGCTGAACTTGAACAGCATTTTTAAAACATTTCAAGGTACTTACCTTATATCAATCGCAACGTTAAACTTTCAGTGCTTTGCCTTGGACACTTCATTTCTTTCAGTTTTGCTACCGAAGAGGTAAAAGGTGTAAATTATTTTCCTTTGCGAGCAAATGACCAATTTGAAAAAGGACGTTATAGATAACTGGCTTGTAAATTCAGTGAAATACCTCTATTTATCCTTACAATTAGTGTGAAGCTTGTTCATGTGTAAAAAAGTTTGAAAACAAATGTAAAAACAAGCACAAGGTACAAAAAAAGTTGTCAAAGGTTCAAACGTGTATGACTGACCTTGCTTCCTATTCGCTAACGCAATGACAGGTTTGACATGTGACTTTGAAATGGCTTTCTGGGGCGCGTGCTCAGGATAAAAACAAACAATATTATTGGTGTTTTCTTTTTTTTCCTGATTTTTATTTGATTATGCGATTCAAGGAAAATCCATTACCTGACTCGTGAATTCCACGTTAATTAAATTGCACTTGAAAACCTATATCGGTTTTCGTGTGCAATTTAACGTGGAATTCCCTCGTCAGGTAATGAATTTTCCTATAAAACTTAATAATATCGTGGAAAAATTTCTTGAATCAGATTGGCTTAGAGCAGTGCAGTTTTTAGTAAACACAGTACAAAAACAAGGAAACATAATGCAAAAATAAGGAAATAAAGTGCAAATTTCTCACAGAATGAAAACCTGTGATTGGCTAATAAACAATCAGTGTTCTCCAGAAGCGGGCAACTGGCAGTTTCACTGGGAACTCTTTTCCAAAGTGCCAGCTACTCTTATGAGTCAAAACATAAAAAAAACTGTCTGTAACTTTTATCTTCAATTTTTCGTAAGTTCCATTTTTTTTTCCTCGAAGGATAAAAGCGGCACCGAAGCAAATTGTGTTAATTCATTTCTTAGAATACTAGAACATGCAATTTCATCGGAAAATAACAAACAAACAAAAAAGCCACAAGAGCTTGTTTGAAAGTTTATCGAAAAACACATGAAAATACATGGAACTAAAGTGCCTTGAACAGCTACAAAAGAAGACAGGTGTTGTTTATTCATGGTTGCGAAGCCACTCCCTGAGGCACTTGCCGATAGATAGCTGTGGCTTGTTTATCCGACATGAAGAATATAAATCACAAGCAACTAGAATACAGGCTATGCAGCCATTCACTAAAGCAATCGAGGCGTCAGTAAAGCTTCTTTTCTTACAGCTTGTGGCTTCAAACAACGTCATAACAAGCGACCAAGGTAATAGTTTTTCTCCGTTGTTCTTACTTTTGTAACTGCTCCAAAAATCCAAATTCACAGTAATTTTGATGGCTGTTAAGAATTATTTTTCTTCACATTATCCGCCAGGTTTTTTTAGCTGTCCCGCTGTGTAAAATCCTAGAATCTCGATGAGTTTTTAAAAGTGTTCATCTTTACAATGTTTTGATTTTTCATTCATCCAGTCCAGGCGAGTCGGTTCACGCGTTGACAGTTCTGAGAGACATGTGACATGTGAATAGCAGAACTCCCTTGTCTTTTCTGGTTTGTTCTAACAAGATTCAAAGGGATTTTGTGGGCATTTTTAATAAAATAATTATTCCACTTGCGCTTGTTGGATGAGATGATTATTGCCAACTCGGCGCTATGTGTCTCGTTGGCTATTTTCCACCTCATATCCAACGTTCCCTAGTGGAATAATTGTTAATTATAAAATAACTAAGATAGTACATGCATTCTGATTGGTTAAAAACCAATAGTTTATTGTGCCGGTAAAATCACAGAACTGAAACATGCTTTAAAGTTATTTTTTAAAAGTAAAAGACCACATTTTCTAAAGGTTTGCTGGTGTGATAACCCACTTGGGATGTTGGGAGAAGACTGGAAAAGCTTGTAAACCACCAGCTTAACTTCTCAGATCTCTGGGCCTCATGCTCCCAAACCCCCCCTTAGATACGGTACTCTCACTTTACCAGCACTTGGTGTCAGGCACCAGTTACTTTACATTGGGAGCTGGCTACTCTAAAACTTCTGGAGAACACTGAACAATAGAAATATATAAGAACCAATGAGCCTCATGCGATCAAGTGTCACAATCTACTTGCTTATCTTCTTAGCCATGGAAGAACATGAAAGTCAGGTCCTCCAGGTTGAATGTAGCAGGGAATGCTCTCTGCTTGGTGAACAAGAGCAAAGTCAATCAGCAGGTACTGATATAGTTCATGGTAGATGGTATTTATTATAAAACTTAATAATATACATGGAAAAATTTCTTGAATGAGATTGGCTTAGAGCATTGCAGTTTTTAGTAAACACAGTAAAAAAAACAAGGAAACATAATGCAAAAATAAGGAAATAAAGTGCAAATTTCTCAGAGAATGAAAACCTGTCAACAATCGTGTTCTCCAGAAGCGCAGGCGACTGGTGGTTTCGCTGGCTACTCGATCTTATGACTCAAAACAGTAAAAAAACCTGTCTGTACCTTTTATCTTGAATTTTTCAGAAGGTCCTAAAAGAAACAAAAACAATAACTTGTCGTACAAAAAGCTCTTTGGTGTATGACAATTTGCCTTTTGCTAATGGTATTATCGATATATTTACTGAATGATTTTTGATGAGACATTGCCAGATAATATTTTTTAATTATAAAATAACTAAGATAGTCCATGCATTCTGATTGGTTAAAAACCAATAGTTTATTGTGCTGGTAATCTCATAGTAAACTGAAACATGCTTTAAAGTTATTTTATAAAAGTAAAAGACCACATTTTCTATGGATTTACCATCATGATAACTCACTTGGTTCTTGGGAGAACTCTGGAAAAGCTTGTAAATAACGAGCAAAACTTCTCAGATCTCTGGGCTTAATGCTCCCAAACCCCTCCCTTAGATACAGTACTCTCGCTTTATCAGTGCTTGGTGTCAGGCACCAGTTTCTTTGCTTTGGGAGCTGGCTACTCTAAAACTTCTGGATAACACTGAACAATAGAAATATATAAGAACCAATAGCCTCAGGTGTCACAATCTGCTTGCCCAACTTATTAAGATTATATCTTATCTTCTTAGCCATAGAAGAACATGAAAGTGAAGTCCTCCAACTTGAATGTAGCATAGAAAGCTCTCTGCCAGGTGAACAAGAGCAAAGTCATTCAGCAGGTACTGATATACCGGTAGTTGTTTATGGTAGATGGTATTTTATTATGAAAGTTAATAATATACATGAAAAAATTTCTCTGTGAATTTGATTGGCTTATTTTAGAGCAGTGTACTTTTTAGTAAACATAATGCAAAAACAAGGAAACATAATGCAAAAAGAAAGAAATATAATGCAAATTTATCAGAGAATGAAAAACTGTGATTGGGCTAATAAACAATAGAAATTTATCAGAACTAATTAAGTGCCACAATTTGCTGGTGGGAAGCATGTATACTTTTAAAACTTCCCCCCGTTTTGGTGTAATTAATTATGCTCTGTTGTCTTACCTAAGTAATCTTTCCTTTTTCTTGTAACACTTTTTTTCTCAATATTTTATTTTATGAATTTACCTGATTATTTTTATTTATTTATTCATTGTGGGTTGTTTTTTTTTCATTTTTGTAACCAAGATTTTGAAATTAATAAAGGTGTGGGTGGGCGTGTGTGTGTAACAAATAAGGATGTTAAAACTTTCATATATATATATTTTTTACATGGACTCAAAAGAGCAGCTATATAATCAGTGATTTTGTTACCTCTGCATTGGATCTATGTTCCTGACACATAAAAATCGCCGAAGACATAAAATAATTCATGGATATATCGATCTGAACGTGTGTATTTGTAGAAGTATCCCGTACGTGTAATTTCTGTGGCAGTTATGGTTGTTGTTTAGTGATGCATATTTGTTTTAGCCTTTGTTGACTTCTGCTTTAAAATAGAAGAACTATATTTTAATTTCAGTATACTATAATACAGAGTTTTGGAGTGTGTCTTCAGATTAACTGTCTGCGGCTGGTACATAAAGGCCCAAACATTTTCCATTTTGGACTCATTTTTTTTAACTGGGACTCATTGGTTCTGGACTGGGACTCATGATTTCTCACAAGATGAGTCCCAGAATTCATCATATTTATTTGTAACAAAAACACTGTATAATTCATTGATTAGACCTTTTGTCGTGTAATTCAAGTGTTGTTGTTGTGGTAAACATGACAAGTCATCATGTCTGTACTTAATTCTCCATGACTGGATTGTAGGATTTTTGTTCTGTTTGTATTTGATCGTGCATTATTATTATGGGAAAACTTACCTTCAGTTAGGGTTGCATTACTTTGACTAGGACAAAGTTAAAATACATTGAATTCTCATAGAGATAATTATTTTTTGGATTATAATAATGAGTTCATTGGTTGGGTCACTCCCATTATATTTGATGACTGGTTTATGAAATATCAGCACTTAGAAAAAAATGATTGTCAAGGTTGTTGTATTATCCGAAGTTTCAAAAGTAGAAATATTGTGTATTTTCTATTTGAAATCAGGTTTTGAGAACACTTCCACAGATACAGCTTTATAATAGTAATTCTTGTACAGTTATACAAGCATGCAGTACTAGGGTGCGAAGAAAAGGAGGTCAGTTTTGTGCTTGTCCTTCGGGAAGGCTGTAGCTTGCATCTGTTAGCCCAAGAATCACAACTCTATTATCCCTCAGGCAAGATAAAAAATAGAATCCACTAGCCCCATAGCTTATATGAATTGTGTACTGGTTAATACAAATAATTCATTTACTAGGAGAAGAGTTGGAACAACACATTCCTGCAGTAGAAAATGGCCCAATTGAGGGAGCAAGCAACGTGCAGGAAACACAGCAACCTCTTCCAGAAGTAAATAATAGTAGCCACTTAGAAGATGACCGCCTAATTGCTAGAGCAAGGGCAGTTGGTGTGGACTATGAGTTTCCAAAGCCTAGTGAAGTGGAAACGGAGGATGACAGAAGAAAAGATTTTATTTACTTGAATCCAGTCCATTCCTTTTTCTCTCCAACAACAATGGTATATTAAGAAACATTGTTATTATAGCTGGAAATTTCTTTCCAACCATGTGCACACTCATTGGTTATTTCAATGTCACCTGACATCTAACAATGAAACTTTTTGGTGCCAATATTCTCTAAGCAGCCAACATCGCAAAAATCATTCACATCAGAGGGTAACAGTGCACTATTACCCGTGAATGACCAACAACTGACATTCCAGGGAGGTTTAATGAATTTCCATGCAGCTTTAAATTTTTTAAAATATTAACATCACAAATCACTTAAAGACTTGGCCCATGGGAAACAGTTAATTTTGTTTTCCAAGAATCTAAATATTTCCCAGCACCATTCTCATTAGTTACTTCGAGGTCACATGACATCTAACTGTTTCCCACCACAATCTCTGAGGAATTGCCAGGCTAATTGACCAGCTGCTGTGGAAATTGGAGAATGACTATATGAATGGTTAGGTACGTTAGGTACAGTGCCAAAGTTGCATTGATAACTGTGGTGATCTTCCCTGAATTTATTTCTTCATTCTGCATTTCCAGTATATGAAATTAATGTATTTATTATACCATATATAACTTTGTTGTGTGAATTCACCTTGGATAAGTTAATCTTTTCTTGTGCTGTTTTAAAGTTATAGAGTTTTAGTTTTAGTTTCAACTTTTAAGACCTTTTTCTTTCCTGCTCTTTAAACCTTATCTAACTACGTTGTACTTTTTTCGTAGTTTTCTTTGACTCCTCTTCTTCCTTTGTCGGGAGTGGGTTGCGGCTACACGTAGGCTAGATTACATCCCGATACCGACTGGGGGGTATCAGTATTTGCAACGAGGCTATATCGTATTGTGTACCAGTGTGAATAAAACGATCTTCATCATCATCATTATTATCGTTATTATTATTGTAATGAAATCGGGAGCTCTGCTTTTGGGCTTGGCTAAATCTATATATTAAACCATGTTGCGAGTTTTCGTGAGTGACTGTTCACTTCTTTTTAAAAAGTGTTTGACGGCTTTGTAGGGCGTTACCACGAACAGTTGGGACTGGGCTTAAATTACACTGGGACAACAACTTTAACTAAGTAGTCAGAATCTTATACCAGGATGTACGTGATAACCTAAAAACCTAGTAGTACGATCTCTATCCTCATCCATGATGTAAGAGGTTACTGTTTACTCGCTTTTCTTGAATGTCAGGAGATGGGTAGGCAGCCTATGAACACGGTTCTTGTTTTGGAAGGGTAGGGTGGTTAGGGCGATAAAATAGCCTGAAAATTGAGTCAGGGGGGACGGAAGGGAAGGAGAGGGAAAGTGTTTCATTGGCCCTTCCTTCTGGCCTCAGTTCACATTGCACATGCCAGTACTACACCAATTTCGATATCATGGTAAGATTTATTAACAAAATTATCTCCCAAAATTGTTTACTTTAACAAAAATAAAACCTAGATCTCATGGTCAATGTATAGTAGTTCAAATTCTCAAGTTAATTGCGACAAAGTTAAAATCGTATCATTCATAATCCAGGTCATCAAACAGCTGGATTCGGCTGTTATTCATATCACACGACACAACTATATTTGCTGTGGACACTGGATTCCTAAACTCTCCACTCTAGCTACGCCTTTACTTCCAAACTTTGTAACAAACTTTTCACTCAGTTCAAATACCTGAACCCTGTGATTTCTTTCATCACAGACCATTAGTGATCCTTCTTTGCTGACTAGTAGTTACTATCGAATCATGATCTGCGAATTGTTAGCATAAACGATAAACGGCTTCCCTGGACGACCTGGATAAGTGTGTCAAACTCATATCTGGATAGGTGTATCTGTCAAACTCATATTCACACAACTGGATTTCTCATTGAGAAAAGTCTCTTAGGCCTTTACTCTTTGTAAGGGTAATGCTACAGGAGATGATTCGTAAAGACAATTTTTCCAGCAACACGTAACACAGCATTGGAATGTTGAAACAATGTTGCAACCATTCGAAACAATGTCGCAGCAATGTTGTAATGCTGCATTGCGCTAAAAATCGTCGTTGTGCTGATCGTCTTCGTGTAACATCACCTTAACTCCCTGAAGTTTTTTAAACTGCTTCTGGAATCTCTACAGCTCTTTGTGTTCGTTCTGTAACGTGATAAACAACATTTAGTTTTTTAGTTCGCTGTGTTACTTCTGGCGCTAGCCTGTTCCAAGGTGGCACAAAATAGAACGGAGGACCTCTGGAATAGGCTTTTCTGGCTCTAGCAGACTTGGTTGTGGCTGTAAGAAAGAACGACACCAAAACTATGAATGTACTTAAGGTAACCTTCGATCAGGCGTTTTTTTAGAATAGAAGGAAAACTTCATTAACTAGACTGCCATTGCGTCACGCGCCCTTTCTTGGCATCTGGTTGAAATAGTGGTTCTTCTGGCCGCTCAGCTCGTCTGTTCACTTCCTGAATATTTCAGCTAGACAATTATTAACCAGATCACTATATATATTTTGTTCAGTTGATAGGGGACACAACTGAACGATTGCCTTGTTAAATCGCATTTGCCGCAAGAACGCGTATCTGAGTCGTCATGATTTCCCGATCCCGACAGGGAGGGAAAAAATCCCACATCCCGCGCCCTAAATTTTGGTGAATCCCGCTTCCTGGGTAGCAGTCAACGAGGTTGTCAGTTGAGGTTTTGTGTCACCATCAGCAACGATCACAACAATAATAAACACTTAATGACTGGTCACCGGGGAAACAAATTCTCGAGGCACCAGTCTTTAAGTGATGTGTTGTATAGCTGGAAATTGTTTCCCTCTGACTTCTTGATTTTTTTTGCATTGTTCCCTCGCTCAGAGATTTTGGCGGGAAATAGTTTCATTGTTAGATGTCATGTGACCTCGAAGCAATTAATGAGACCGCGTGCTGTTGAGAAGAAATTTTCAGTTATAAAACAAAGCGACTGTAAGGATATAAGTAATTATCAAAATAAATACCTTAAAACCTCTTGTGATCATTATCCAAACCGGCATAAGGCAAGTATTTACTGTTTAACAGCTACTGGTCTAGACTACTAATACAGCTCTCTCATTTTCCTCGCTCTTTGCGGCTAGGCAAACGTCCAAGACCAGAGAGGAGCGAGGTTAGACGACTGTATTCGCAGGCTTCTACTTTTCGCAAAATGTCAAGAGATGGGTAGATAGCCTAGGAACAGGGGGAAGGGGTGGGTAAGGGCAAAGAGATAAACTTTATAAAAGGTTAGAAGGGGAGGGGAGGGGAAGAGCTTCTATTGTTTTAGTTGGTCTTAGTTGGCCCACCTCAAGTTTACTTAAATTCTTTTAAAAAAAGCAGTTAATTGTTAATCAGTGAAGCTACTTAGCTGAAAACACGAAAAGAAAAATAAGCGAGTATAGCAGGTTCATGAACATACCAAGGCGGAGAATCTAAAAATAGTAATGGCTCTGTCAAATTGACGTCCTTAATCACCTATTTAAACGGGCTCACCCTCGACAAAAAACCTCGATGTATATTCAAAAGAAATTGATGATATATTTTCAATACGTTATCGGAACTTTTAATTCGCACGAACCGTACATCGACTACATCGACTACATCGACTAAACCGTGATTTTGTTTTTCAATTCAGTAGATTCAGTTTTTAAACGGCTACAGTTTGAATGATTCAAACTACTACTAAGTGTTCCATTTCTGCAGTTGGAATGAGGCCGTCTTTGTAGCGACATATCGTTTTTAGCTGTCAAACAAGTTCTTGCCGTGCGTAAGTCAACTTTGTGCATGTATAATTAATTGAATGGATTGTCGCCAGATAGACTGTACTGGGTGTGATTTCGCGCCGACTGACAATAGTGAACTTACGCAACAGGACGGGAGAGGGAAGAAGACGACAAACCTTGTGTGACAAGCGTGACAATGATTTTGTTTGCAATAACTTTTCCCTAAACTTCACTTTCCTTTAAACAGATCTTTTTGTAAAAGACCAGAAAACATTGATGTTAAGTGAAGATCACGACAAAACACGTAAGAAATAGCCTTGTCACGTTTGTCACACACGAGCGTTTTGCCTTCCTCTTCTTCCTGCCGTCCTGTTGCGTAAAGTCACTAATGTACTGACCGAGGGAACGAAGACTATTTTTTTTGTCATCTGAACTAGACTTATAGCACTTCGTCTGGTTTCTCTAACCTGCGAACACAGCCTTCTCTCCTCGCTCCTCTCAGCTAGGGGCGTTTTAGTGTTAACCATTTAAACCCTAAGATCAAAATCTGAATTCTCATTTGTTGACCCAATTCATTTCGTACAGAAGTAGCGGAGAGAAGCTGATAAAATATCAAGCAAATTCATCTTACGTGATCATGTCCGTAATTCTCATGACCTACTCTGTTTTACAAAGCATTGATATTATAAGGAGAAATTTGATGCTGATCACTCTTAGGGCTTAAAGGGTTAAGATGTCAGTGGTGTGCACGTGTCCGGTGAGATCAAGAAAAAACTCTTTTAGAGGAAGAGAAAGGCGCGTCCACGAAAGGTGTATCAATTCTGGTCGATCAACTTTGAACGGGAGGGACCCTGAAGTCGCCGTTTCAATTTGCTTTACGCACTTTCTTTTTCTTTTTAGAACTTTTACTCAACGAGGCTATTGCTTTATAAGTGTTACCCACCTGGAATAGCTTCGCTAATTGTGGGTAACACAGTCATAAATTATTTTCAAATTGGATTATATAAACTGTTGTCGCTTTTGATGTTGTTGTTGCTCCCGCCGCGTGTTATGCAAAGACGACTGGGCACGAGTGAAAACAGGAGTCAAAACGAAGTCAGAAACAGAAGCTTCGATTAGAACAATTATTGCAATAAAACCTTCAATCATGAAATAGTTTCGGTCGTTAATTCCCTGACTCTAATTGGTTCATTTGCTTCATCGCTTGTCTTACAAATTTTCGATCATAATAAACAAAGAACCCCTTCCCACTTCAGTTTCAAGGCATGTAAAGCTGCATTTATTTGATAGCGAGCTTAAAAAGGAATGTTGGGTGCAACTGAAACCCTAAGTGGGACAATCGTCAAAAGTGTGTAGGGAGGATACTATTTTTTAACTCTTTTCCCCTTATTTCCTCTGCCCCTTCCTCAATTTAGACTGCAAAACAGTCACGTTATTTTTGCGTATTCAAGTACGCCGCGCGAGCAGTCAAAGAAAGGTCTAGAGCCAGGCTGAACACAGAAGGCGAGAGTTGGGAGGAAAGCTAAAACTACGCTAAACCGATTTTGAGAAAAACAAATCCTTCTTTTTTGCCGTCTATGCCCAATGCTGTACAAGACTAATAGTGTTTGTGCGCGTAATTGTTTTGTTATATGCAAAACCTTCCCAACTTCTTTTGTCCGGGATTATTGCAGGTTACAAAGTGAAAATGTCAAAGCGCACAAGCTGCACTAAAGAACTTGGAATAATTATGCGTGCCTGGAGTTTGGTGTGGATTTCGTCTTAAATCGACCGCAATATAAATTTCAACTCGACGAAAAGTCTCAAAGGTCTTTTCTTGTAACCCCCTTTGAAAAGGTATCTAGGAGAGCAAGGGTGGCACATTCATGAGACAAAATGCGGGGACAGTCGGCCCTCACCAATTTCCATCGTCACTGCTAAGTTTTTTCTGTAATATTTCTCTTAAGCGCGAAACCCAAGAAGCAAGACTGTTAAGTGGCGTTGTCGACTTTCCGTCGCACGTTATTGCACACATTAGCAGGGGCGGATCCAGAAAAGTCAGAAAAGGGATGCCGGTACAATTGCCTACTTAAAGCTCCTTTTTATTTTGCTGAGAATTCTATAAAAAAAAAATTCCATATTTCAAAGAAAAAGTGGTGACCGCGGCCCCCTCGGCCACCCCTAAATCCCCCCTTGATTAGGAGACATTGAATACAAGGAACAAAGCATTTACTTACACTGTTGTTTATTTAGACAAAACATAATCCACTTGAGTTATTAACAAAGGGAATAGTATTTTGTTTTTTGAGAAATATGTACGTCTGTTACTACTGGAAAAAGCTAAGTAAAAATAAGCCTTGTAGTTAAAAAATTATGAGCCAATCAGGCTGTCCTCACTATTGAACAGATAACAACCCAATGAAAAAAACACACTTTCAAAAATGTATCTAAATATTGAACAGAGTTTGAAGATAAATAATTCCAAATTAGTAATACTGTGAGCTTAAAATGTAACAGAGTTTTTCTTTTCATAATAATAATCTGTGGATCTAGTCAATCTATTGCAGTTTATTTTTTTCCAGGTATTGTATTTACGGCATAAATGAAATAGAGGCAATGTAAGGAGGGTCGCGCCGGCGAAAACTCAACTTTTAAGCGACACTGGAAATCCATATCATTTATGGGGCAAAATATATTTACAAGTAGAACATACACCAATTTCGACATATCAAAATGTCTAAACAAAAGAATCGCACGAAATGGATTTCCTCCCGAAACATGAACGGTGCTGATTAATGATAGGAATATATAATAGTGAACTGAATCTCAAAGGTAGGATTATTTGTAGCCCTCTGCGAATACAGCTGATCATGACTCTCCTCGCTCATCGCTGCTATTACGAAGTTTTGCGGCAGAGACGTTTTCCGCTAAAGGTCCCTAACGACGAGGAGCGAGGAAAGACGGTTGTATTCGCAAGTTATAGATTATTTCATTTATGCTCAAATACCTGGATTCGAGAGTTATGCGAATCACACACAACTATTCTTCCATCACTAAGAATTGCTGTAGAATATGGATTCTTCAACTCTCCTCTCCCACTACCTTCACTTCCAAATTTTGTAACAAACTTTCCACTCAGTTCAAATACTTGAACTCTGTGATTTTGTGAATCACAGACCATTAGCAATCCTTCTTTGTTAACTGACAAGCAACGGGGCTTATTGAACTCTCCATCCTTGTTTCCCTGTTTTCCAAATTTAGAAATAAATTTTCCCTCAAGATCAAACATCTTAATGGAATGATCAGCGTAATCTGAGACTATAAAATATTGACCGTGTTGGATACAGTGAACGGGATTGACCAATGAACCTGCTCCACCAAACTTACGCAAATAGTTGCGACTAGAGGAGAAAATCTTGATTAATTTGTTACCGGTATCAGCAACAATAATATCACCGTTACCGTTTATTGATAAACCTTCAGGGTGTATAAGCTGATTATCACGACTTCCTTGTTCACCAAACTTACTAAGAAAGTTACCATACCTATCAAAGACTTGCACCCTGTGGTTCAAACAGTCTGCCACTACAATATTGCCATGACTATCAAAAGCGATCCCTGTAGGCCACTGGAACTCACCATTATTGTTACCGATTACACCAAACGATATTAAGTGGGTACCGTCACTACTAAACACTGAAACCCTGTGGTTCCAGAACTCAGTCACAGCAATTTTATCACGATCATTCACTGCCACCCCCCAGGGCTTGTTAAGCATTCCAACAGACTCACCTTTTTGTCCAAATGACAGCACAGATCTGAAGCGCCTGGTTTGTACCTGAGTCTCAAGAGGACTGTCATGAACATTTGCCCCTTTATTCCCAGCGATTACTTTACTACTTTCTTTACCTTTAGCTCCTGATTGTTGCACTTTAGTTTCGCTTAAAACTGTTTTTACATTACCTATCCCTTCATTTTTCAACACGTTAATCAATTTTTCACTTTTAGTGAAACTAAAGCGAGGGATACAGTCAATGTCACGGTTTTCTTGGGTGCCCTGTTCCTGAAAGATTGCATCAAATGTTTCACTGAATCCAAGGATATCAGTGCTGAAGCTTCGTTTCACAAGAGCTGTAGTTTGTTCAATTGCCGATTCAATTAATTTCACTTGATTTTCAACTTCATCTTTTTTCTGTGAGAGAGATTTCAGTGATTTTTTCGCTTGATTATCGACTGCATCAAAAACATCCTGTTTCCTCGCTTCGATGATTGCAATAACTTGATATACATGTGTCTGGACCTGGCTTTTAAAGTCGGCAACTTGCAGTGTAATGTCCATGCTCTTTTGGTTCAATTGCTCGAGGTCTTTTCGTTTTTCTTGTGCTTTTTCTATTAAAGATTGAGTCATGGAGTTGATCTGAGTCTTGCGCGCGTCTGTAGCCTCTTCCAAAAGCATCTTTCCGTGACCTTCATGGAGTGTTACAACACAAGTGTTGCAAATGGCGACTCTACAGTCCTTACAAAAGAATTTCAACTCTTCTTTTTCATGTCGTTTCTTCTGACAAAATGCCGGTCTCTTTAACATGGCCTCGATGTCCTGATCTTGAAAATCCTTCAGTGCCAACGTTCTGTGTTCTTTATTGGTGCGTATTATGTTATGTGCTAAAATACATTCGTCGCACCAGAAAGAACAACACTGGAAGCAATATAAGGTCTGGGCGCTCCGTTTGTTGCAATTTCCGCATTTCACGTTAGCTGTGCTGCACTCTTTTATTGCCAAGACATCTAGCAAACTGTTGATACGAAAATTAGTGGGAAGTTCGCTGGGATTTCCACTTCCAGGGATTTGAAACTGTCTCCTGCACTCGGGGCATATAATTTTACCATGGACGCCGCTCGTTCGTTGAATTCCGTTCAGGCAGTGAAGACAGAAACTGTGCAAACAAGGCAACTGCTTTGGATCAGTGAATGTACACATACACACAGAACAGGATACTTCATCATGAAGATTGTCCAGCAAGGTCTTTATATCCATGAAGAAGATGGAAAGCAAATTAAGTTTTAAAATACTCTGAGACGTAGTTGGTTGGCACTCCCAGAAACCGCAACAAAGAAATGTTGTCTTTTGACCCACACTAAAGTATGTTTTGGCAACCAATCAAATGGTGTCTTGAGGTGTTAAAGTTTTGATCACCTGAGAGAATCCAAAAATAGCTTTTATTTCTGATAAATGATAATCTGTTTACAAAGCATGAACTTTTTAAAATATTCATCAAACCACAGATACCCCGATAATACGGTCGCGGTCACCATGTACCCATGGGCCAAAACATTTGGCCGTATTAATGGGCGACCGTATTAACTAGGTTTTTTTTACAAGAAAATGTATGGCCGTTTTGTCGGGTGGCCAAAAAAAGTGGCCGTAATAACGAGTCGATCTTAGTACCGAGGTGGCCGTAAGGCGGGCCGTTCCACTTTACTGGGCTTAGTTAGGCTACCCAACTAATTTTAAAATCATTCCTATGCATTCAGCAACAATTATAAGATGTTTTATGAGAATTTATTCTTTGCCTATTAAAAGTGTGACATGTACATTAGATTTCTCTTTTAAGTTTATTTTCAGCGGTTTTTTTGTGTTTATTTGTTTCTTTGTTTTGTTGACCAGGCCTTTAAGGCGCGTTTATGTAAATGGCTTTTTTAGAAACAACGGTTTATTACTTAGATGAACGAAGAGAGGCGGAAGAATCCTGAGTCCTGTCGTTTCATTGGCAATATTTCAATCTCTTGAGAGACTGTTCACTTTTTTTAAAAAAATGTTCCACGCCTTTTTAGGGCGTCCTGGTGGTACGCTGTCATTACAAACAACAACAACAGAAGTAAGAAATATATACATGGTATATCAACAAGTGATTAGTTTAGTGTCACTGTCTCGTCCCCAGCGCTTCTTTGGCAGCCTCTTGGACGCCTCCTTTTACCGACTCTTCAATATCCTCCACTGAACATCTTCCACTCCATCCTCCACTGACTCCATCGTTCGAGGGGCGACAGCGGACATTTAAGGTGAAGCTGAACGGACAAACGCTGCTGTTCTGGATGCTCTTGCGGATGGTGCAACTCTAGAGTGCGAAAAGTATAGGAGATTTGAAGATCTTTCAGAAGAGGAAATCAAGAGAATGTCACTTCCGTTATATAATGGATACGAAACGAAGCAGATGGAGAAAAATGTCTTGTATACGTATGCAGTCAGGTTGCCGAGAGGATTAATGACGCCCCTGTTCGTAAAGACTACATTAAGAGTAAAGTGAGTGAGCCTCCTGATGAATTGTTCTTTTTCAATTCTGCTCATCTTGATAGATAACGGAGTGAATCAGGAAGTAACAAATTGGAATTCCCTGGTGTAGCTTACCTCAGAAAGATCGAATCTGTCGTGGTGCATGCGTGCAAAGAGGAGACTTCCAATCTCTGTTCTTGGTGTTCTAACAATTGATGGTTGGAACCAGAGACAGAAAGAATTCCGCAACCTGTACCAGACCCAAACAATCGGGGATATTTCATGGATGTCTTTCAGACGGAATCGACAGGCAGGACACCGGATGACTATCTCCCGAGAAAATGTTTGAGGGACTTGCATGAGGAACTATTCTGTCAGTGTCATAAACGATGGAGATTCCATCAAGAGCTTCTGTTCAAAATACAATGTTGATGTGAAGCATGTTATTACTTAATATTAATCGCCTTAAAGAATAATAATATGAGAAAAGACATTAGAACAACTGAAGCTGAGGAACGAAAGAGGCAAGAGGCGGAACGGACATACAAGGATTTCACTTCGCCGCACGAGTTTATACTGTATCGGCTTAGTTGGGCTGCCACTCTTTAAATGCGATGAAATTCGTTTACGTTGGGGTTTCACTGTCAAAACAACAGTCATTCTTCTGAAAAATGTCTTTGAAATAATAGAGAGATTAAGATTCACGTTTACGCCAAACGGTAGACGTGAATTTGTACCACGTGACCAAGTTTCCCCCTTATTTTCCGCTTACTCTTCATTGCTTCTACACAAAAATAAGTAATTCTATGCCAGTTTTAGCCATAGGAATCGTTCGAGACTGTTTTTATCTGCTTATTTTCTATTCTGAGAAATTCTCAACTTGAGTCTGAAGTTTGCCGTTTGCGGTAAACGTGAATCTTAATCTCTCTAATAGGGCTCGATCAACGTTGAACAGGTCGCACTGGCAGAAAATCTAGCGGAAAGGTTTTTATAATATATTATCATAGGTTTTCACAGTGTGTTCCAGGTGGCCTAGTGGAAAAGCTATGGCCCGGCCCTTTGAACTGGCCTCCTTGATTACGGGCTGTACCCATTTTTTTTTTTCTTCTTCTTTTCTTTTATTCCTTTTTCTTTAGTTTTCTTTTCAGTTATTGCAGTTGTTTTGTTTCTTTATATAGCCAAAGTTTTTAGATTTATAAATTTTCTTTACTGTTGACTTATTTCCATTTCAACTGCTTGCCGTTCCCCGGAAGTCCCTCGCGAGGTCCTGCGATTCACGTATTTCTAGTATAGCTTTGTATTTAATTTATACTAAGCCTTATGCTTATGCGCAAGTGAAAACCAGGCTATACCGTTTACTCGCTTTTCTTAATGTCTATCCATGGGCAGGCAGCCTATGAAACCGGTTCTTGTTTGGGGAGTAGGGTAGGGTGGTCAGGGCGAGAAAATAGTCTGAAAATGGAGTAGAAGAGGAAAAGAGGTGGGGAGTGTTTCATTGCCTCTCCCTTCCCTTGACATTGCACACGCCAGTACTATAGCAATTTCGATTTCATGGTAAGATTTATTATATTAGCAAAATTATCTCACAAAATTGTTTTCTTTAACAAACATAAAATCTACTGAGATCTTATGATAAATGTATAGTAGTTCACATTCTCAAGTATCTTGTACAACAAAGTTAAAATCGTGTCATTCATAATCAAACAGCTGCATTCGGTTGTTATTCGTATCACACACAACTATCCTTCCATCACCAATATTTGCTGTACATACTGGATTCCTAAACTCTCCACTCTCGCTACCTTTACTTCCAAACTTTGTAACAAACGTTCCACTCAGTTCAAATACCTGAACCCTGTGATTTCGTTCATCACAGACCATTAGTGATCCTTCTTTTCTTACTAGTAGTTACTATCGAATACCTGCGGATTTTTAGCATAATCGGCTTCCCTGGACGACCTGCATAAGTGTGTCATACTCATATTGACACACAACTTGCGTTCTCATTGAGAAAAGTCTCTTAGGCCTTTACTCTTTGCGATTTGCTCTAAACGTAATGCTACACGAGACGATTCGTAAGGACAATTTTTCCAGCAACACAGCATTGGAACGTTGAAACAATGTTGTAACCATTCGAAACAGTGTCGCAGCAATGTTGTAATGCTGCATTGCGCTAAAAATCGTCGTTGCGCTGATCGTCATCGTGTAACATCACCTTAACTCCCCGAAGTCTTTAAACTGCTTCCGGAACTCTACAGCTCTTTGTGTTTGATGCGTAGCGGGAGAAAAAACATTTAGTTTTTTGGTTCGCTGCGTTGCTTCTGGCGCTAGCCTGTTCCAAGGTGGCACAAAATAGAGCGGAGGACGTCTGGAATAGGCTTTTCTGGCTCTAGCAGACTCGGCTGTGACTGTAAGAAAGAACGACACCAAAACTATGAATGTACTTAAGGTAACCTGCGATCAGGCGTTTTTTAGAATAGAAGAAAAATTTCATTAACTAGACTACTGCTATTGCACCACGCGCACTTTCTTGGCATCTGGTTGAAATATTGGTTCTTCTGTCCGCTCAGCTCGTCTGTTTACTTCTTGAAAATTCAGTTAGACAATCATTAACCAGATCACTATATATATTTTTCTCAGCTGATAGGAGACACAACTGAACGCTCGCCTTGTTAAATCGCTTTTGCCGCAAGAACGCGTATTTGAGTCGTCATGATTTTCCGTTCCCGAAAGAGAGGGAAAAAATCCCACATCCCGCACCCTAAATATTGGTGAATCGCGCTTCCTGGGTGGCAGTCAACGAGGTTGTCAGTTGAGGTTTTGTGTCTCAATAAGCAACGATCACAACAATAATAAACACTGGTCACCAGGGAAACAAAATTTACTGTTTCCCGAGGGGCCAGTCTTAAGTGAAGTGTTGTGTAGCTGGAAATTGTTACCCTCTGACGTCTTGATTTTTTTGCATTGTTCCCTCGCTCAGAGATTTTGGCGGGAAACAGTTTCACTGTTAGATGTCATGTGAGCTCGAAGCAACCTATGAGACCGAAATTTCCAGCTATAAAACAAAGCGACTGTAAGGATTTAAGTGATTATTGAAATAAATACCTTAAAACCTCTTTCTCTTTTGATCATTATCCAAACCGGCATAAGGCAATTATTTACTGTTTAACAGCTACTGGTCTAGACTGCCGATACAGCTCTCTCATTTTCCTCGCTCTTCGCGGCTAGGCAAACGTCCAAGAGCAGAGAGGAGCGAGGATAGACGACTGTATTCGCAGGCTTCTACTTTTTGCAAAATGTCAACAGATGGGTAGATAGCCTAGGAACAGGGGGAAGGGGTGGGTAAGGGCAAAGAGATAACCTTTATAAAACGTTAGAAGGGGAGGGGAGGGGATGAGCTTCTATTGTTTTAGTTTGTCTTAGTTGGCCTACCTCAAGTTTACTTAAATTCTTTTAAAAAAAGCAATTATTTGTTAAGCAGTGAAGCTAATAAGCTGAAAACACGCTGTGAAAAAAATAAAGCTTAAAGCAAATAAGCGAGTATAGCAGATTCATGAACATACCCAGGCGGAGAACCTAAAAACAATAATGGCTCTGTCAAATTGACGTCCTTAAGCACCTATTTAAACGGGCTCACCCTCGACAACAAACCTCGATGTATATTCAAAAGAAGTTGATGATATATTTTGAATACGTTATCAGAACTTTTAATTCGTACGAACCGTACAAAGAGTTACATTGACTACATCGACTAACCCGTGATT